AGTCCAATGTGATTCTCGAGAGAGGTGGAAGGCTATGCTCTGGGTAAAAGATTGTCTGTCGAACACTTGAGCCCGGTCTGGATAGAAAATTGCTGTAAACAGCAGAGTGGCAGGTTGTGCGAGGGACTCTGAGCCAGCCAGAACTCACAGTAGCTCCTCTCGCTAGCCGAATGCTGCACACACCCCTGCAGGTGTGGTCCACACATCATAAACACTTTATTAATGTACAGCAGCATGTTCCAGGAATAACCTCAAAAACCAAGAGTGGATGAAACCACGGGCGTTTCTCCAGATTCATACATAATTGCAGCTTCAGTATTTTTTGTCCTTTCTCTCTGGCAACGAAAATAATCTCTGACCAAGAAGACTCGGAGGAAATCATACTTGGAGATGCCATCGGTTTGCAGAAATCCCAGTGACTGCTCTTCGTCTCCATGCATCTTCTCACGTTATACATCTCCACTTGCATGTAAACAGACTGAGTACTTTAATGACTGAGTTTATTTTTTAATTATCGAAGGTTAATGGAGTCTGTGAAGGACAGTCTAGCATCTAGGATGGCGTAAGTGTGACAGGTTGGCCAATACTATTCCCTAATATTTGCCTATCGCGAGAAATGTTAATATCGTCCTATAATCCCAGCAAGCATTTCTTTTCTCCACATAACGTCAGGATAAAAAAGTAGTTCCAAAACGAAAGATGGACTAAAGCCGTGGACGTTATTACAATGTCAGATCGAGTCACGTCTTCAATGTTACGTCACCTAGAAATCCTTGTTGTCTTTATTGATTAGAATAAAATGAACAAACATACAAAAAAGTTTAAGGGTGGCTTCAACTCAGCTTCATCTAAAGCTTTTGACTTTATTACTTATGCTACTGAGCTAACTGGTTTCATATGTGAATGTTAGCATTCCTGAGTTTATGAGGCTGGTATGTTGGACAGAAAGGGGATGATTATAAGAGTCTGACATGTAGAGTTCGCTATACAACAAATGAAATTGAATTTAGGTGTAGAAAACCATAAATAGACTCTGGTAATACTGGTCTGTGTACGTTGGGAAGATGTTAGGTGGTCGTATGCAACTGTGTACTAAACTTGTTAGCTGTTTAAAAAGACAAACACATTATATTCCATCTTAGAAATTTGATTTGTATTTTTCACTTTTGTAAGAACTAAGCTCTATTCTATGTGGAAACAACGTAACGTCTGTCCAGCTAAAGTTCAGGTTTTGGTGTCATACTGCGACCAGTTTTGACCAAGGCGATGATGTCAGGGTTTGAACCATGTTTGCTGGGCTATGCTGCCTGCAGTACTTGGATATAGGGCTGTGCAATATGACCAAAATCTCATATCCCAATATAAGAATTCTATCGTCCGATAACGATATAAATCACAAAAATGTAACATTCTGTGAATCTCGGGCAGCTCGACTTGCGGGAAGTGTTTCCAGCTGCGCGTCATGTAGCTGGAGTTAAAACTATACATTTTTAGACACAAGTTGTAAAGGCCGCCGTTTTCAGTCTAAGGTTTATTTTTTAGCACCTGGCGGCTCTTTTTTTAATTCTCATCCGTAAATAATCTGCTCTTTCACGTGATTCAGTTTATTTTGAAAAGTCTCAACAGGATCTTGAGCTTTATTGTGAAAGGTTTATGTGGAACACAAGCGGACACACGATGCTGTTACCGTCGTTGTTGCTAACCACAACGCATAAAAACAGGCGCTTGTCCGTCCGTAGTGTGGTTATATTAAATATAAGAGAAAGAGAGAACTTTAAGAAATTAATACACTACAGTGACCATCAAAACGATGAAAAAATATTTCCGTAAACAGTTTATTTTGCGACACCACGAAACAAACGATAGCGTAAAATGAAACGATAGACGTTTTTATATCGTCACCGATATATATCGTTATATCGAACAACCCTACTTGGATATAAAAACGAACATAATGGTTAAATAACGATGATAGGGTGGAAATGGTGAACAGTTCTTTGTCCAGGAGAGCTCTTTTGATATCATTGTTTTCAATACTCTCAGGACCTGTCTGATTAGTTAAATTGCTGATTAATGTGTAAATATTAAATAAAATAATTGCCGGGAAGTTATCGCAAATACCCCAGTTTTTGAAAATGATAAAAGTATTTTCATGAACTCTAAGATTTTTTGTTCTCCTGACTAAATCACAGCTGGCATTGGCCTGAAGTATTGCTCAGGCTCTAATCTTGCTGCTGTACCAGAGAATGGGCAGAATGACATTACGTCTGTTCAGGAGAATGCAAATAGCTCGCCCTCAGAAAGGGATAAAAGCGTTATTTGTATTTGTTGGTTTTCCAAGAAGGTTTTCTTAGTTAGAGTTGTTCCAGTGACTCCAGGCTGAATTCAACAAATGCATTCAGCAGTGTGTAAAAGAAGCAGCTTCATTGCGACAGTAAGTAAGACACAATTTAAAGCCAATTCGGTAAGATTTTCAAGCAAAACAGACTCTTGCTTTGCCATTACTGCAAGCGCAAGATTGTAATTTGCCCTAAGTATCTGTCATCACTCACTCTGCGGGAGTGCAGAGCTAAACTCAGATGTGACCTAATCTGATTAAGGTAAACGGCTCGTCCACTGATACCTGCCTTGCTGTGAAGTTATCGGAGCAAAGCCTGAGTGATTTTGCTTAGCGAGACTGAGCCTGGCAGGCCTTGTGGCTCCCCTCCCCGGCTGCAAGTCCAGCCATTGCATTTCATTGCATCAGAAAAATAAATAAATAAAAATGATAATGGCTGCCAAATGAAAAGTGTAATTTGAGTTTGGAAAGATGACTCTGGTTGCTTCGAAACATCTAGAAGATATTTTGCTTCTTTGTCAGATTAGAAAAAAGAAAAAACGTGATGCAAAACACAGCCCGAACGTGCTCCAAGCAATGTTTATTTTCCAAATGTATGATATGCATGACTTCATCCACCATCCCCATTATGATTAAATCCTTCATCTCATTCAACATCCTCCATTATGCATAGAGCTCTAATCAGCACCTGACCAAATGTTTTTAAAAAATGGCGCTAATGAGTTACTACGTCTTTACTTGGAATGAAACCGATAGGACTCTGAAAATAGCCTGCCTGTGCTCTGAAATATTCAGTGTGTGTGCGTGCGTGTGTGAGTGTAATGATTTGTGGCTTCAGTGGAGCCCAAGCAGGCCGCAGAGTAACTTTCCTGGACAACAAGTGCTGTTTGCTGTCTGCTTTGACAGAGACGGGAGTGAAGGGCCGGGGCGCTGTTCAGGAAGCTCCCTGCTGATACTTTTTTATGTACGACAGCAGCCATTTGAGGAGCCACAGTGCACGTTTGTGTGTGTAAGTGTGTGTGGGTGTGTGTTAGGCCTTCTTTGGTCAGTGACTGACCCTGGATTTTATCCCGCCAGATTAACTGTCAGATTCCACATGTCATCTGGGTTTTCCAACTAATTTCCTGGATGATCTTACTCCTTCTCACTGGGTGATGAATGTGTATGTTTAGTGGTAGTTTTGATGGATTTGTTTATGGTGGGTTTTAATTATGAAGGTACAGTAAGCTGCTGGGGAGGGGGTAAACATTGGGAAATTATATGGTGGCACATGAATCACAATTTTTGGAGTCAATTTCACATTAAAGCAAAGCCCATTTTAACAGTGCAGGCTGGGAAAGCAGTGACTCAGAGTGGCTCGTGTATGTCAGTGTTGCTCAGTGGTAGGTGATGCGGGAAGGTGACCTTTTCTCCAACAGAGCACTGGGTGTAGCAGGAAGCTGTGGTCCCTCTGGCCTCCAGGCACCCTGCGGCTCACTTGGATGGGTGCTGGTGGCTGGCGGGGGAAATGTCAGAGCCCTGAGCTCCGCGGACGCTCGTGTACCTCCCCAGTGTGTGCACACAGATCCCGAGTGCTCGTTACACAACAAGATGTCAGCTCAAATGAAAATGGAAATATGCATCAGTTTAAAAAGACTGGCAAAAAACGCTTTCAAAGTTAATGAAAACTCCTGACTGATGAGGGGGATTTGACACTCATGTCGTCGCCACATGGTGAAGCGCAGTCTTACGTAAAAAAAAACCAACAACAACAAAAAAGAAAATGTGTTTTCGCTCAGCCTGCATAATCTGCAGAGCAGCTGTTGAGCTGTTGTTTTCAGCCACTTTTTGTTTTTTAACTCAGCAGCAAGGGGACATTTCCCAGCAGCGTGAATAGCCAAGACACTTTCAGTTACATGAGGATACTTGTTTTATGGAGGATGTACAGAAGAGAGATAATAATGCAAACTTCTGTTTGTTGTTGTTGCTTCAGTGCTATTTTATTGCTCAGATGGATAAATGTGTGCAAACCTATCACTAGTGACTTTGATGTTGATAGGCGCATAAAGACACCGTCTTCTGACCTTGCACAGACAATCACATGTTTAAATTCATGTGCATGCATGAATTTAAACACAACCTCCTCTGATCGCTTGTTATTGGTGGTGTGCTGTTTTCAATGCATTTTACAGTGTCGGTGGCAGATACAGGGATGTTGAGAGTGCAGAGGGGGGAGAAGTAGTAGAGTACCCGCCCCCAGTAGTAAACCCTGCTCACTCAGACCTAGAGAAATGGCACATGTGTTAAGTAATAAAATGCTGGTGGGATATTTCTGGCTAAAATAAATAAAGCTATGAGTGACATAAAGTTAGAGCGGACTCCCAGCATCAGACTGTATAGATATTTGCAGGCTGAGCTGGGGGCTCTGGCTCTTAATGTTTCCCTGCTTCAAGCTGAACAATGGAGGTTTTCCGTCGATACTCTTGTCTTGCTGTTGCAGTCCGGAGCTCAGTATCCTCTCTGCACCGAGGGCTGCAGATCTGGCAGATGGGCACTGAGTCAATCTAAACAAGAAGCGGGCTCTCCGGAATACATGGAAACCGAAAATTCACGCTTTTTTTTAAATGATTATTTTTGTGTGAAAAAAAAAGAGAGTCATGTGTGACATTTCTGTGCGCCTTACCTTTATCTTGACTTGAAGAAATGCTCTCCTCCTCTTTCGGATTTGCAACCTGTGTTATTATGGACGTGTTGTCCATGGAAACGAGATGTTACGCACCTTCGGCTACACCGTTTTATTCCTTGGCAAACATTACCAGGCGCACTACAGTCCCCCTGGCTGTGCGCAGGCTTTGGAGCGTCCGCTGTTTGCAACGTTAAAATCCCATTTTTGCACTTCCCATACCCCGGTGCTTACGAGCGAGATAAAATATTAGCGAGAAGAAGAAGAAACAGAGGAAGAAGCGGTCACGACGGCTGGTCCAAAATGTGAGGTGACAGTCCGATGTGCAGGAGACAAACAAAGCGTCAGTCCCGCATCGAAGCCGTTCGTGTCCGATGTGGCTGTTGCAGGCAGCATAGCCCCCGCCTTCTGCTACCGCTACTGTACGCTCCAGCTTCTATCCACACACTACAATATCAACTGCGTGATACGGTTACAGTGTTTACCCAGAGATGGCGACCGTCGTCCTACCGGCCCTGCAGGCTGACTACAACAGCAACACGCCTGCAACATTTCTATTATCCTCGTCAGTCCATGCTGAAAAACCCTCTCAGTCCGCCCACCACCCACCGATTGTTGCTATCTTTTCATATCCCTGCAGCTCAGGGAGGGGAAAGAAAAACTTCACACTGCATGCAGA